CCCGGGCGAAGCCGGGTCATGTGTATGTGTTTATGTGTATGTCTGTGTGTCTGTATGCATGTGTGTATGTATGTGTGTGTATGTGTTTGTGTGTATGTCTGTGTGTGTATGTATGTCGGTTTTGCCGCCGTGGTGGATCCAAGTCCCGGGCGAAGCCGGGTCATGTGTATGTGTTTATGTGTATGTCTGTGTGTCTGTATGCATGTGTGTATGTATGTGTGTGTATGTGTTTGTGTGTATGTCTGTGTGTGTATGTATGTCGGTTTTGCCGCCGTGGTGGATCCAAGTCCCGGGCGAAGCCGGGTCATGTGTATGTGTGTATGTGTTTATGTGTATGTCTGTGTGTCTGTATGCATGTGTGTATGTATGTGTGTGCATGTGTTTGTGTGTATGTATGTGTGTGTGTATGTATGTGGGTTTTTTTGTATGTGTTTATGTGTATGTCTGCGTGCCTGTATGTATGTGTGTATGTACGTCTGTGGATGTGTTTGTGTGTATGTATGTGTGTGTCTATGTATGTGTGTGTATGTGTTTCTGTGTTTGTATGTGTGTGTATGTATGTGTGTTATGTGTCTGTCTGTGTGTCTGCATGTATGTGTGTGTGTATTGTGTATGTGTTTGTGTGTGTTTGTGTGTTTACGCTCGCATTACACAAATGTATAATGCGGGTCTAAGGCGTTCCTTACACAGCATTGCCGCTTTATTATTTCAGTCGTTTACTGCCGTATGCACCCTGAAAGTCCTGTGTGTCTGCAGCAAGCGCGTGTATGTGTACCTATGGACGCGCGCGCGTGTGTTGTGTAGGGGGAACGGTAGTGTAGTGCTTAGCGTGCTGCCTGTGTCTGTGTGTGTGTGTCTGTGTGTGTGTGTCTGTGTGTGTGTCTGTGTGTGTGTCTGTGTGTGTGTGTGCGTGTGTGGTGTGTGGGGAGCGGTAGTGTAGTGGTTAGCGTGCTGTCTGTGTGTGTGTTTCTGTCTGTGTGTGTCTGCGTGTGTCTGTGTGTGTGTCTGTGTGTGTGTCTGTGCGTGTGTGGTGTGTGAGGAGCGGTGGGTGTAGTGCTTAACGCTACGCTGCGCTACCAACCCGGCAAACCCAGTTCGATTCCCGCTCACGGCCACCACCGGTGACGATTATTTGAACCTCCCCTAGGTCGACTCTGCCTCAAACGAGTAACTTAACTACTGTAGCGTATTAACATCGCCACTGGGGAGACAAAGGCGGCCGGCCGTGGTAGATACAAGTCCCGGGCGAAGCCGGGTAGTACAGCTAGTGTGCATATGAAGAGGAATTTAGCATATTCATGGGAAATGCGTAGGAGGTGGGTGGGGGGGGTTTCATAGTCATTATGCCCATGCATTATGCAGGATCAACAGCACCAAGGGGGGGTGCAGTAGCATTAACAAAGGAAAAGAATGTTAATAGTATGTAGCTGCAGTTACTAAACAACAACGTAGAAAACTAAAGTATAAACTACATAAAAAACTAAAGTATAAACTGCATAGCACCATCAGTATACTTACTATACTCTACAATAAGCTGAGTTACTAACAGCAAGTAATACATTACAATTCTACATCGTAAAAAATTATATAATATGCTTCCATCTAAACTTTATTCTCTTACATCACACGAGCATACACCGTACTATATACTGCCATAGATAAACCCAACATTAAATTATATACTGTATTGCTATAAACCACCCTATACCTTATACATTTTAATATAACACTATGTATTATTCTACTCACCCTAATGTGTATCACACTGCTATATGTTTACTATACAATTACGATACTATATATTACTTTGTACATTGTATTAAGCATATAAATGTTATACTATTTGTTATTATACGCTGTACCATTGACCGTCGTATCAATGGGTGAGTCGTGGGGGGGAAACTTGCAGCGGAGCAAAGAATCCATTCCCTGCGGAGAATACAATGCCAGTGAGTGGAACGAGGTCTGAAAGTCACCGTAAACGTGAACACAATCAGTTAAGATCCGAAATGGTTTATTACGTCCTTCCAATGATTGCTAAGCCAGAATCCATCTTCTCGGTTAAAATTGTCTCTGTGTTTGTATATGTGGATCGCCTCATGAACGAATCTCTCATGATAGCCAGATGGCTTGCAGAGAACCTCTGTCTTGGAGAAGTCAATGTCATGTGAGCCCACTGAGTTGTAACAGTGATCTGCCACGGCTGAGGTGTTTGTCCTACCGTGTTTCAGGTCTGCTTTATGTTCACGGATGCGGTCCGAGATATGTCGTTTGGTTTCCCCAATGTAACTGCTACCACAGAGGCAACTTAGTTTGTAGACGCCAGGGTACTGTATGTCTGGAACCACATCTTTTACAGACGGTACCAGATCACGGATTTTATGTACTGTGTTGAATCAGACCTGGATCTTGTGTTTAATCAGGATTTTGGAGATCTTTTTTGTGACCCCAGCAATGTAGGGTAAGGTGATGGTCTTGAAAGGCTCCTCAACAGGATCCTTCTTGATGGTTGGAGTGATGGCTTTGCGGATTGTGTAGTCGGAGTAACCATTAGCCTTAAGAGCTTGGCGTACGTGTTTGAGTTCACTGGCAATGTGTTCCTGGTCGGAGATGCATTGGGCTCTATGATATAGAGTCTTGATGAGGGAATTCTTCTGGGATGGATGGTGGTGGGAATCCGGTTTTAAGTAAGCATCCGTATGGGTGGCTTTCCTGTAGACAGAGTGGCTCATTGAACCATCAGGTCTCCTTTTGATAGCAGTTACATTGGGGAAACCAAACGACATGTCTCGGACCGCATCCGTGAACATAAAGCGGACTTGAAACACGGTAGGACAAACACCTCAGCCGTGGCAGATCACTGTTACAACTCAGTGGGCTCACATGACATTGACTTCTCCAAGACAGAGGTTCTCTGCAAGCCATCTGGCTATCATGAGAGATTCGTTCATGAGGCGATCCACATATACAAACACAGAGACAATTTTAACCGAGAAGATGGATTCTGGCTTAGCAATCATTGGAAGGACGTAATAAACCATTTCGGATCTTAACTGATTGTGTTCACGTTTACGGTGACTTTCAGACCTCGCTCCACTCACTGGCATTGTATTCTCCGCAGGGAATGGATTCTTTGCTCCGCTGCAAGTTTCCCCCCCACGACTCACCCATTGATACGACGGTCAATGGTACAGCGTATAATAACAAATAGTATAACATTTATATGCTTAATACAATGTACAAAGTAATATATAGTATCGTAATTGTATAGTAAACATATAGCAGTGTGATACACATTAGGGTGAGTAGAATAATACATAGTGTTATATTAAAATGTATAAGGTATAGGGTGGTTTATAGCAATACAGTATATAATTTAATGTTGGGTTTATCTATGGCAGTATATAGTACGGTGTATGCTCGTGTGATGTAAGAGAATAAAGTTTAGATGGAAGCATATTATATAATTTTTTACGACGTAGAATTGTAATGTATTACTTGCTGTTAGTAACTCAGCTTATTGTAGAGTATAGTAAGTATACTGATGGTGCTATGCAGTTTATACTTTAGTTTTTTATGTAGTTTATACTTTAGTTTTCTACGTTGTTGTTTAGTAACTGCAGCTACATACTATTAACATTCTTTTCCTTTGTTAATGCTACTGCACCCCCCCTTGGTGCTGTTGATCCTGCATAATGCATGGGCATAATGACTATGAAACCCCCCCCACCCACCTCCTACGCATTTCCCATGAATATGCTAAATTCCTCTTCATATGCACATTCTTTTTGTTAAGGCGCTCTTGCACCTCCAACGCAGCGTATATATAAGCTCCTAGCTTGGTAGTGTCTCATTCTTCACCTGAGGACGGCTGCTTGCGTTGTGGCCGAAACGTCGTGAGAATTATTTTATTTTATTATGTTTTATTTTTATTATTTTATTGCTTCCCTTCTACGTGACTTTACCGAAAGAACCAAGAAGATATAATATTTTAGTCCTAAAAAGTGTAAAATTTTGGAAAACATTTTTCACGAACATTAATTGTCACGCACAACGAGTCTGTGTGGAAAATGTCAGCTCGATTGGATCACGGGAAGTGGGTTAAAAAACGACCGAAAGATTTGCACGGTCGTAAGCAAGCAAGCAAGCACGCAAGCACGCAAGCAAGCAAACTTAATATAAAGGATTTTTTAAAAAAGCCGATACTCAATCGATTGATTGTCAAGTGATCAATGGATCGAGTAATCCCCTTGGTTCGTAAAGCTTCCCGCAGAGCGCTGGTGAGTATATAACTTAATCTATTATTTTATGTCATGAAAAGTTATTTTAATTTATAAAGTGCTTTAATACATTTATCATGTGTACAGTATCGTTATTAAGACGTATTACCGATACCCCAATGAAGCCTCATATATCGTTCATAGATAAAAAGAATAACACTGTCGGTAATGCATCTACATTGGAATTGTGTTATAATGACCTCCCGTAGCACTGTTTCGTCCAGCGCTCAGTTTACCAAGACTGCATGCTGAGCACTGTGAGAGGTATGCCTGTATGTACATTTGATTTAGATTTGAGAATTGGGCCGGCATTTCCAATATCAGTAAAAATCGAGCTTCGGAAGCAGAGGCCGGCTAAGGGGACACTTTCTCAGCTCTCATCCGAGGACATCACGGATTTGGGTGTTTCAAACTGGTCACGTTTTTGTTTCTCATAATGACTTGCATAATAAAAATATCTAAATAATCACTGATTGTTCAATGTTCTTGAAAACACATGATTACGCAGAATTGAATCGTGAGAATGATAATTAGGTAGCAGTTTTTGTTTCACAGTGTTTGACAGTTTCTCATACTGCAACACGAGCTTTTCTCACTACAGCCACATCGAGGATCCGGTCTTGATGCTGGCCTCGTCCTAAAAGGCTCCTGGCCACGACTCGTCCTTGGCCCCGCGGCTTCCCGGCTTCGAATCCTTCGCTCCGTGACCGCGAGGGTTACCCGGGAGGTGAGGCTGGATCCGCTGCTGCCCGCTGCTGCGCGCGTGGTCACGTGGCCCGCGAAGACGGCATCGAGGGAGTTGAAGAAGCTCGACTTTCCCGCGCCAACCTGGCCCAGCAGCAGAACGCGTGGGGCCTTCACACGCGTGTCCCGTGTGGTGTGGCCGCACACGTCCCGCATGAGCTGCTCTCGCTTCCTGACATCCGGTGGAAACAAACCAGCGAACCTTCGATCAGCCCGGTTGGCTACGTGCGACGGACAAAGCAGTTCAGCATACGTGCATGCGTACAAAACAGGACAGTGCTCGCAAAGCGACGAGATAATCGCGGAGGGGCACAGAGCGGTCACCACGTCCGATCGGCAGGAGAGCCGCGCGACATTGGTCAAGATCGTTTCCAACGACGTCGACTCGCGCAATCTCGACGGTCAAGCGTCCCGGAAATCGACCACCCACTCAGCCGACGCTAGGACGGAGAAATATATAACAAAAACAGAGAGAGAAAGCAAGAGGAAGAATAATAATTAATTCCAGCGAGAATCATAAAAAAACTGAGTAGAAGAGAGACAAGGATGAAGAAAGAGAGCAAGACAGGGCTACAGCAGAAGGGGGCTACGCACCACAGAAACGGTGCAGCCGCCCACTGTGTGAGTGTGCGAGCGTGCACTAAAAACCGGTGGCTGCATATATTTAATAAAGTTTTGTATCAAAATATTTTTTAACTTTGGTAAAAAAGATTTTTTTTACACATTGTTAGCCCTGCGTTATCAAAGGGATGGGCTATAAATCTCCCTCCAAGGCATCTACCAGCCTCCTCAATGTAATGGAGCCCACGGCGTTATCGGGCGTTTCAGTTCAGCGAATTGGTTGCAGAACGTGAACCTGTGATGTATCACAGATGATGTTCTGGCTGCTCTGATTGCTGTGGTCACTTTTCGACACGCAAGTGCTGTATCTTTGCCAACGGCAAGGGAGGTTCCTGCTTCACAGCTATTGCTGGTGTCTCTCACGGGGCTGTCATGCATTAGGGCCATTCCCCGAGATACCAGCCGGTAGGTTGCTGCGTGACAAGGCAGTGTTCACTTACTCTTCAGTCCATGAAACATTTCTCCACGGCTTTTCGGCCAGCACTTTCTCTATGACAAGAGGAAACCATGACACATTAAAAGCTTCATTATCAGCCATAATGGATCACCGTTGGATGAAGGCCTCCATCTTGGAAACTGGACAGGTGGCCTCATTTCATTCCTTGCACCAGGGCTCAATGCCCACCACGCTACACCACTGGCTGCGAGGCATGTTGAACAACTGCATCCCGATGTCATTTCAAACGTGTGTGAAATCAAATGGTGCACATGTGTAGGTGCTGCGTGATTTTACAAATGCCGGGCCATTTGTGCAACTGTGAAATTACTCAGTACCGTCAAGGGTGTACACCTCCAGCTCGTGCAAAATCAAGTCGTTTCCGAAGATGTTGGCGTTTGTTGCACTGTACGTCTGGCCCAGATTGCCCGTGAAACTGCAGCCATTGGTACCGTTGTTGGGGAGAAACATGAGGTCGTGCCCACTTCCAAAAGTAGGACCGTAGTTTGAAGCATCATAGAAGGAGTTTGATGTATTGGCAGTTTTAATCACAGAGGGGGATGGGTTTCCTGGTCCCTCCAAGCGAAACACGAACGAGTCGTTGTCTGCAATGTAGCTTCCCCGAGACGTTAGGGTCTGTGAAACGTAGCCCCCAAAAATGTACCCCTGGGCGTTGTACGCAACGGTGATGGTAGGGCCTTGGTTGTTGCATTTCGTGTGGAACGCCGTTGTGTTGAAGCCGTCTGTGCTGCCCTTGTAAAGGATGCGTAGGGACTTGTTCGCGATGTTCAGGGCTCGGAGCAGCTTCTGCTGTTGCGCAGACGAGAGCTTTGGGGACTGGGCCATTGCCGAGGATTATTGGAGGTACCTGCAGATCACACACACCAACGCACAGCTGTCAACATGGCTCTCTTCCAGCAGGAGGTAGAAGCTGTGAATGTGACGAGTGGGAAAGTGCTGCCCCCTTCACGTGTGTGTAATAAACGACTCTATCAGGCGATGTTGGTCTCCGTTCGTTTTTTATTTAGGTTCTTCTCCGCACCCCCACTGGCCTCTTCCTCGGACCAGTGCTGTCTCGCGTGCGCCCCGCGCACGCTCTCTCTCTCCCGGACCAGTCCTGTCTCACGTGCGCCCCGCGTACGCTCTCTCTCTCTCTCTCTTGCCCGCACACTCCCCCGTTAACTCCCCTATTCCCGGACTCCGCACGCCACTGGACGACGGCGTGCAGAGGTCCTTCGGCCACGTGGCCGATGGCGTGGATCCCTCTCACCACCCAACGTGGCTCAGCCTCTTAGATTCCCCAACTGCCCCAATCTCTTCCGGGCTCCCACTTATATACATTCCCCCCACGTGACCCTGAATCCTCCTCTTCCGGATCCTCAGATCCGACCTTCCCATACTACCCCGCTGGCTCCGCCCCCATTCACCTCGCTCCCCATCGGAGCCGAGGCGAACGGTGGCCCCTCCCACACGCCCCGCAGACCAGGCTCCGCCCACCAATACCCCCGGCCGTGTGATTGGACCCGAGCCCAGCAACAACCCCATTTACGCTCGCATTACATGTGTATCAGAGAACACGTGAAGGCATCTCAGAGGTAACCCTGTGATGTCGACTTGCACAGGCCGATCTCTGTCATGAAACGTGTTGTTGCTCTGTGAGACCCGAATGGATTATTGATCTCGTGGCATGGCAGCGAGAGCAAAATTGGGATAGAATTGAGGGGGGGAAATAAAATCGAAAATAAGCAAACCTATTTGTTTTCTTTGAGGAAATCGTCTTCTTCATGATTATCAGCGTGTTGATTTTTGTAATTAATGTAATGTTTATTTTTATTTTGTTCTGTATGCCTACGATGTGGATGGAGTGGACGGTTGTCAGGGAGACTCGGGGGCGGGGAGAGAGAAAGAGAGAGGGGGCAGCACCAATCAAGCAACCAACTAATTATACTAGGAATGAAGCTTTCGTGACTGCAGGAATTACTATACTCATTGGTTCTTTCGGTAAAGTCACATATGTAGAAATAAAATAAAATTAAAATAAATCACGACGTTTCGAATGCAACACAAGCGCTCATCCTCAGGTGAAAATGGCGTAAACCACACAAGCGAGGGAACACACAGAGGGACATCACACACAGAGCACACAGAGAACGGCAAACTTCACGGAGGCAAATACAGCAAGAAGATGGGAGAGGCGAACTCAGCAAACCTTAGAAACATAATGCGATGCAACCCAGTCGGCCAACATCACAGTTAGACACTAAACCTGGTTGACCACGTATTTCAAAAGACTGCTAAATCTTGTGTTCATCTTCTAGGTTGAACACACCAACGTAAACAGAGGATAAGGACTCGTGAACAGACACGAGGTACAAGGTACCAGAGCTACATACACAGAGAAGACACACAGGGAAAGGTGTTTTGGGCAGTACAGAGGGACAACGAGAAACACCACACGAAGAGACATACACACATGGAGAGGCACACGCAGAAAGACGCACGGAGGGATAACGTACAGGGACTTATTCAGGCTGTAGAGGTGGGGGAAGGGTGGGGGAAGGGAAGGGTAACCGTGCATGGACATGCATATACCAATGCAGTCAACAAATCGGGGGAAACACATGGGAACACGAAAACGGAGAATGCACAAGGGAAACAAACGAAAACAGAGACACCAACCACGTTGAACGAAAACGAAGCAAAATTACAACAAGTGGAGATACATACACAGAGAAGACAACACATGGAAAGATGTTAGATGAATGCACCTCTACGGGGAGGTTGTCCTTACAATTCTATCCAATTGTTAGAACACGTGCATGACTACTAATAATAGATCACGTGTATGACTGTGCCGATGACGTCATAGCATCGACTCAAGGACCCGGATCAGGAAGTGCATAGTTGGCTGCGTCGGGTGGAGGAGGGGTTTACGAACACATCTTTACACGACCTGTAAACAACTTACATTTGAACCTATTTGGCGGTACGTGTACACGTACCGCCAAATAGGTTGCGCGGTATTGGGAAAGGGACAGAGCCGTTTTATTCCCGCGATTAGGACGGCGACAGCGGATCTCCTGGTGTGGGTTGGAGTGAGCCGTGCTTTTCTCATTACTGTTATCTCCATATATAAAAGGCAAATTTGTGAATGCGTGTCTGTTCAAAATGTTTAGCGTACTTCCCGACATGCAACAAACTGGAAATTTGCCATGTGGGTACTTGGAGGGGGGGGAGCTCAATGCATAGATTTTTTGCACAGCAAGTGAGCTGTGACGTCACATCTGTCACGTAACCCGCGCATGCGCAGTGCTTAGCGCGCCGCGCTACGAACCCGGCGACCCGAGTTCGATTCCCGCTCACGGCCACCACCGGTGACGATTATTTGAACCGGTCCTGGGCCTCCCCTAGGTCGACTCAGCCTTAAACGAGTAAGTGGTGTGTGAACATCGCCACTGGGGAGACAAAACCAATTATGAATCCCTTCGCCCTCATTAACTCTCCAACACACCGGGGTGCTGCAGTAACAACGAATTTGCACTTTTTATTTATTTAAAGCTTTCGTTACTGCAGGGATTCATATTCTTGGTTCTTTCGGTAGTCACGTAGAAGGGAAATAATAAAATAATAGAAATTACTTTAATAAAGTAAACAATTAGTTTATTTTATTATTTCCCTTAATAATAATAAATCATTTTGTTTTCTTTTATTAAATAAAACTAAGTTTATTTATTTAATTTTATTATTTCCCTTCTACATGACTACCGAAAGAACCAATAATATGAATCCCTGCAGTCACCAAAGCTTTAAAATAAATAAATAAAATTGAAATTGTTTATTTTATTTATATTATTAGTTCTATTATTTATTCTTATAAAATAATGTATTATTTTTTTATTTCTATTATTTATTTTTATTTTTGCCTACGTGACTTTACCGAAAAAACCTAAGAGTACAAATTTGTGTTTTAATATTTAAATATTTAGGGCCCCTTTACAACAAATGCTGCAGGCCTCTCACTAGCTTAATGCGACACTGCTCCCTTGCATTGTCGTTTCGCTTTACCGTCTGTACGTTTGACAAAACGCGAATGCAGTAGAAACACGAATTAAATACGAGAGAAAGAGTCAAAAGGGAACAAAACTACGACGTGCGGGCAGGAGCGCCAACTTACCGTGCAAGTGAAAAGTGAAACCAGGAAATGCGAACCGCCCACCCCCTCGAACACGTGGTTTGTCCCAAGTGTGACACCACCAGCACCCCTCTGTCGCCCAGCGTGAATGGTCTCTCCCGTCAGCGGTGATATTGACCGCCAGCTCTCACACACAGGTGACCCACAGTCTTGGGAGGGCCAATTTCTAAGGTCCCATTACATGAAACAACGTTCTTGCAAACTGTTTATTTTGTCTGGGAATGTGTTATATCGGGATTAACACAGCATGAACAATTCAACTGTATACAGTCCATAAACAACATTAATCGAAGGTTATAATTTGTGGTCCCTGAATATGAATCAGATACTTGAGGATATATTGAAAATATATCGAACATTTTTTACAATGTAAGTATGAAAGCAACCAGTAAATGATCACAATCCACACAAAAATCACTACTTTATATAAAAAAGACGTGCCTATAAATAACAGCAATTCCACATGTCACCTTTTAAAACTCAAACCATGAAGATAATACTCGCAATCCACACGATACTGCAACTCGTTTCATTCGAGCCACCCTCAATCCAATTACGGCTCCTTCAACTCCACAGCAGGGAGCCGCACCAATCCGCTTGTCCTTCGGTCGTATGTACGTACAGGATTGCACGTTGAACTTCATTCGCACCGTACGTAGCCAACCGTGCTAATCGGAGGTGCGTGGAAGGATAACAAACTAAAGACAGCTGATCTTCAGCTCTGTAAGAACTCAGTCGCACATTGGGTTTTCACGGCAGCTTCATCACATGGAGGATATCTGGTGCCTTCCGGCCTACAAAAACTGTTTGTTGTCAAAACAATTATGTTATTTTGATCGTGGGGTTAAAGCCGACTCCATGTCGTTCAAAAATAGAATAGATCCATAAGTTGACGAGCTAATTTACAGTCTCACCATTTCATCTGCTCAGTCACTCACTCAGTCACCCACTCACCTGCCCAATCATTCACTCAGTCACCCACCCACCTGATCCGTCACTCACTCACTCAGTCACCCACCCACCTGCTCAATCACCCATTCAGACACCCACTCACCTGCCAAATCACCCACTCAGTCACCCACCCACCTGCTCAATCACCCACTAAGTCACCCACTCACCTGCCCAATCACCCACTCAGTCACCCACTCATCTGCTCAATCACCCACTCAGTCACCCACTCACCTGCTCAATAACCCACTCAGTCACCCACTCACCTGCCCAATCACCCACTCAGTCACCCACTCACCTGCTCAATCACCCACTCAGTCACCCACTCACCTGCCCAATCACCCACTCAGTCACCCACTCATCTGCTCAATCACCCACTCAGTCACCCACTCACCTGCTCAATAACCCACTCAGTCACCCACTCACCTGCCCAATCACCCACTCAGTCACCTACCAACCTGCTCAATAACTCACTCAGTCACCCACTCATCTGCTCAATCACCCACTCAGTCACCCACTCACCTGCTCAATAACCCACTCAGTCACCCACTCACCTGCCCAATCACCCACTCAGTCACCTACCAACCTGCTCAATCACCCACTCAGTCACCCACTCACCTGCTCAATAACCCACTCAGTCACCCACTCACCTGCCCAATCACCCACTCGGTCACCTACCAACCTGCTCAATAACTCACTCAGTCACCCACCAACATGATCCGTCACTCACTCAGTCACCCACTCACCTGCCCAATCACCCACTCAGTCACCCACTCACCCACTCAGTCACCACCCACTCACCTGCCCAATCACCCACTCAAAATTTTACTTGTATTTACGAGGTAAAGCCCACTGAGTTATTAGCTATTTTCAGAGGCGACCTCGCCACAACATGATAGCTCATCCAAGTGGCTGATATCAAATGTGAGCATCTGCAACAGCAAAATAAACTAAACGCGTCTACTAGATTTGAAGCTTTCGTGACTGCAATGATTCATATTCTTAGGTTTTTTCGGTAAAGTCACGTAGGTAAAAAATTAAAATTAATAAAAGTAAAATAAAAAAATAAAAATCACGACGTTTCGGAGGCAACACAAGCTTCCGTCTTCAGGTGGAACCGTCACAGCCCGACAGCTGTTTCACTCATTTACTTGATACAGCTGTCGGGCTGTGACGGTTCCACCTGAAGACGGAAGCTTGTGTTGCCTCCGAAACGTCGTGATTTTTATTTTCATTTTATTTTACTTTTATTAATTTTAATTTTTTACCTACGTGACTTTACCGAAAAAACCTAAGAATATTAACGCGTCTTGACGCCTATCGAAAATGACAAATCGCCGCGGTCCCTACGTGTAGCGCTGCGGCGCGGTGTGCGGCGCGCGTGAAACTTTTCCGCGGCCCCTTGGCTTGGTCGCGCTGAGTGGAAGAGCCCGGCCGCTGACGCTGGTCTCCAGCGGGAAAGGAGGCAAAGACGGCCGGGACACGTGACAAGAGAGACAAAGACGGCCGGGACACCGGGTGAGAGTGACAAACTGTTGGGACACGTGACGGGAGAGACAAAGACGGCCGGGACACGTGACAAGAGAGACAAAGACAGCCGGGACACCAGGTGAGAGAGACAAAAACTGTTGGGACACGTGACGGGAGAGACAAAGACGGCAGGGACACGTGACGAGAGAGACAAAGACGGCCGGGGACGCTGTACACTGCTGTCGTGTCGACCCATCATCACCACTCGTGGTGGTCGGGCCCCACGGTGGCCACCCGCGTCGTCTCTCAACGTCAATGCGACGACCACGCTGGTGCTGGTGCCGGTAGTTGTTGTTGGTGGTGGTGGTAGTGGTGGTAGTTGTTGGTGGTGGTTGTTGTTGGTGGCGGAAGTTGTTCGTGGTGGTGGTAGTTGTTGTTGGTGGTGGTAGTTGTTGGTGGTGGTAGTAGGTGGTGGTGGCGGTGGTGGTGGTGGTAGTTGTTGGTGGTGGCGGTAGTTGTTGTTGGTGGTGGTAGTTATATTCTGAGGTTTTTTTCGGTAAAGTCACGTAGGTAAAAAAATTAAATTAATAAAAGTTAAATAAAATAAAAATCATTACGTTTCGGAGGCAACACAAGCTTCCGTCTTCAGGTGGAACCGTCACAGCACGATAGCTGTATCAAGTAAGAGGAATTCCAAGAAAACCGTCCTTGTATATGTAGGGGTGTTACGGAGGGGCTGTTATACAGTTGTATCAGACGGTAAACAAACACAGTGGGCGTGGCTATGTCTGTGCACGGGGAGGTGCTCACAGCGACGTCCGCACCGGGCAGCCTGGGGGGCTGACTCGGAGCTGGGATCCCCCGGGGCCCCACCCCTCAGCGGGGGAGTTGGTATATAAGGGGGTGAGCCGGAGGGCTCGAGGCAGAATGTATGAAGCTCAACCAGTGAAGAAGGAAGATCTGCTAGATAGAGCCCTGGACTCCCCTGGATCGCCGCCCTTGTCAGGGCCGACCAGGACCGAGCCAGTGGCGTGGCCCCGAGAGCCAGAGCCGGTGCTCTTGTCAGAGCTGGTCTGGAGACTCCGGGCGCCATAAGCCCAGCTAGCCAGGGCTGGGCTAGCTAGCCTCCCCTAGCCCGATAGTGGAGGACCGAGAGGTAGGCTAGGTGTAGCCTAGAGTGTGCCTCCCCAGTTAGACGGGTGAAGGGGCCGACACCCCTTCTAGTGTTGTATGTCCCGGTCTGTATTGTACCTGGTACGGAATAAATAAGTGTGCCTCCAACCCCGGTGTCCAAGTCCTCCTGAACGTTATTACATCTGGCGTCAGAAGTAGTCTTCTACGAACATGGACACGCGACGGACGGCTCGTGCCAGGGAACCGGGGGCGGAGGAAACCGCTGCCGGCTTTGAGCCCGAGATGGCTGAAGGCGACGCCGAGCAGCCAGGGCCGGGTCCATCCACACCGCAACGTCTGGACGGATGGGAGCCGTCGGCTGACGGACTGCGGCAGGCTCATTCACGACTGGCGGAGCTACTTTACGCTGCAGCCGCCACACTAGAAGAAATTACGCAGCTGGGGGCTGGTGGAGCGGCACGGAGCGACGACAGCCGACGTGCAGCGCCGGTTCCCGCCATTTCCACGGGGCCGGATTTCGAATTTCCCGCCATGGCTACAGTGAGTGCTGAGGGCGTGGCCGGGCTGAGCCACGCGTCCGACGTCGGGCATACAGTAGCCGCCACGTCATCAGGAGCGGCCAGCGCGTCACCAGCAGAGCGACCGCCGATGCCACACGCCCTTCCCGCCAAAGCCAGGCCGAGTGACGGGAGCGACGGGGGGCGACCCTCGACTGCGGCCGCCGCGTTACACCAGCGCTTACCACCTCTCAAGGAGTTCGTGGGCGAAGACGGTGACTGGGGCGGCTTCCAGAGGCGTTTTCTCGCTCACCAAGAAATGGCGCAGTGGACGGATGCCGAAGCTCTCCGCGCGCTGCCGGCGATGCTCGACAGTGATGCCCTCGCTACTCTCACCTCGGCGCCGAAAGCGAAGCGCGCCACGCTGCAGATGGCGCTTCAACTCCTGGCTGCAGTCTATGGACCACCTTCGGACTGCAGGCAGCTGTTTTACGATCGCCAGCGGGGTGCCAAGGAGTCGCCCCTGGCGTACCGTACGGCTCTCCTGGCACTGGCGAGAACGGCTTTCCCGCGGATGGATGAAGAGGGGGTGGACGCCATGGTGATGGACAAAATCCTGCTGTTGGCTGACGAGTTGGACATTGTCGTCTTGGCGCAAGACGACACGGAGATGTGTTCCCTGCGGGCCGCGCGACACATCCATGCGAACTTGCTGTCCCAGCGTAGAAAGGCCAGCAAGGCGGCGGCCAGCCATACCGTGGCTGCAGCAACCCTCCCAGCGGAAGAAATCTGCGCCGTCGATCGCCCGACGGAGTGGAGATCGGGAGTACGACCGGCTCGGGACGGACCGAGCCGCCAGGACCAGCCCAAGTCATCGGGAGCACTTACGCGCTGCTACAATTGTGGCCTCCGGGGCCATGTGGCCTCGGGATGCCGGTCTCCTCGGCAGCGCGGGGCGACGCCTCGACAAGACGTCGCGCCTCTTCCCAAGCTTCACCAACAAAACCCGGCGAGTCGCGGCACCCCACATGTTTGGCCCACGCACACACCCGTCACACACTCACGCACCGCAACGGACGGGGGTCGTAAATTACCTGTCGTCGCGCCAAAACGTACCACTGTGGGGACTGAAATTCAACCCAGCCAGTGGTCCGAGTTGGCCCATCGCGTTGTTGCCGCGTCGTCGGGGTCATCGGTCGTTGTGGGGCATATTAACGGGGTTGAGGTGCGAATCCTGGTCGATACAGGAGCATCGGCGACTATTGTTTCCGAATTGATTTATAACATTCTTCCCGTTCAAAGCCGTCCTTTGCTTCCCGTTGATGTTCCGTGCTACGCTGCTAACGGGGGCTCACTGGGCATTATTGGACAAATCCGTGCGCAAATTTGTATTGGGGATATTAAATTTTCTGGCCCAATATTGGTCTCCTCCTCGCTGGCGGTTCCGTGCCTGCTGGGGACGGATTTCTTGGCCAAAATGCCGATTCGTATCCTGGTCGATCAGGGTTGCATTGAGCTCCCGTCGGGCCGACGTGTTTCGTTCCTGCCATCCCCCTCTACGGGTCGGACGGCGTTTGCGACGGTACCGGCGCTGGTTGCAAGGACAGTACGCGTACCGCCGGGAGCCCAGATGCTCGTGCCTCTTAGGCTACGTCGACCATTTGCTAAGGGGATTGGGGACCAGGGGGTTCTGCTAGGACCATCTAGGGTCGGGGTTAGCGGACTTGACTTAATACCGGCCCAGACCATCGTAAAAGGGGACGGGGACCCTTTCATCGTGGTCCTCAATGTGGGGTCGCGTACGGCGGTGGTTCCTCAAGGGACCGTGCTTGCGCACGCAACGCCGGTGCCCTGTGAGGAACCCGTCATTAATCACGTAAGCACTGCTCCTCCACCGCGACCACATACGGACAGTGATGAAGGGTGGCTCGATGCGCTTTGTGCGGGATCGTCGGACCTGTCCGACTCACATCGTGAAAAGCTTAGAATCCTTCTGCGCGAGTTTTCCGACCTTTTTAGTCAAAACAAATATGATCTGGGCTGTACTAATCTGCTGCGACACCATATTGACACGGGTGACAGCGCGCCAATACGCCAGAATCCTTTTCGGTTAAGTCCTGCCGAAAAGGACCATGTCAAATCGGCCGTTGATGACATGTTAGCCGCCGATATCATTTCTCCTTCTACCAGCCCTTGGGGTGCGCCGATTGTCTTAGTTAAAAAACATGACGGCTCGTTGCGCTTTTGCGTCGATTTTCGTCGGCTGAACAAAATTTCTGTTGCCGACGCATACCCGCTTCCACGGATGGACGAATCGCTTGACGCCTTGGCGGGGGCGCGATTCTTCTCCACATTGGATTTGCTTTCGGGATTCTGGCAGCTCCCTCTGGATGACGATTCAAAACCTAAAACTGCTTTCCGTACACCGCACGGCCTTTTCCAATTCAACCGGTTGCCGATGGGGCTCCACTCAGCGCCGGCAACTTTCCAGCGATTGATGGAATTGGTCTTGGCTGGTTATAATGGGATTCATGTTTGATTTATTGGACGACGTCATCGTCTTCAGTTAAACATTCGACGAACACCTCCAGAGGTTGCGGGCGGTTTTTCTCAAAATGCGGGCTGCTAATTTGAAATTCAAACCCCAGAAATGTCATTTGTTACGCGAATCAGTGCGGTATTTGGGACATATCGTCGGACGCTCAGGTATTGCTACCGATTCCGCCAAAACGCAATGTGTCAGCTCCTGGCCGACTCCCACCTCGGTGGGAGAGGTCAGGAGTTTCGTTGGATTCGCGTCATACTACCGACGGTTTGTCGCTGATTTTGCGACGATTGCAAAGCCCTTACATGCTTTGACATCGAAGGGGGTCAGGTTTCACTGGGGACAGGAGGAGGAGGCTGCTTTTCGATCCCTCCGGGACGCTCTGGTGAGGGCTCCGCCATTGATTTATCCTGACTTTACTAAACCCTTTTTGCTCGATACGGACGCGAGCAACACTGGAATTGGGGGCGTGCTTTCGCAGGTGGTTGACGGCGTGGAACGTGTGGTAGCGTACGGCAGTCGGGTGTTGTCTCCGGCGGAACAATGATACTGTGTCACCCGTCGGGAACTATTGGCAGTTGTTAACTTCATTCAACAGTATCGCCCATATCTGTACGGTCGTCATTTCACCGTCCGCACAGATCATGCGGCACTACAGTATGCCCTGCGAGTTCAACAGCCATCGATGGTTGGAGATTCTCCAGGACTTCGATTTTGAAACTACGTATCGTAAGGGCGTTCGCCACACGAATGCAGACGCTCTGTCATGGCTGCCAACCACCTTCGAATGTGCATGCCTCCTTGGTTCGGGGTGTTGCAAGCCTCCGAATGAGATATCTGATCCGGTCTTGGTGGCTGCCGCTGACGCGCCTTCGATGACGGGTCCGATTGAACAACAGGGAAAGGATTCCTTGCTGGGGTTGCCTGTTGCTGAATGGGGGCGCCTCCAGATGGAGGACACCTCCCTCCTCGCTTTACGCCGTCGCATCGGGGGAGCTGGTCGGGGGGGGAATGTCGACTCGTGGGGGTTGGTTCAGGGTCTGTTGATGCATTGGGACGGGAGATCCCGCCGACACCGGCTGGTGGTGCCTTCTGTTTTGAGGGGTAGAGTGGTGTGGGCTGCGCATGAGCGTCTTGTTGTATATGTTGGATTATGAAATTTTGATAAAAATAATAAAAATTAATAATTTTCCAAAAAATGTGCAAAGCGCATTAATTATGTTAATGTATGTATTACCATGCATAAATTAAGATAATGCGTGTAATTATATGCATAAATTATGATAATCACGGATATAATCGTAGTAATTTATGCGGATGCTTGCGATTATGTTAATGTGTGCAGTTATGATAATTTGCTTAGTTTCGTTTATCCAGAGTTATCAATCAGGATAACACGATTATCATAGATTCATTTACCGATTATCCTAGTGTGTGTTATAATATTTTAGGTCTCCATTTTCATATCTCATCGCAGGTAACAGCTTATGAATAAGACAGTTTTGCATGGACTTGGAAGGAACACTCGATATGCTTCTGTGATAACAATTTTATTCTAACAAACAAGTGACATTCTATCATGCAGGTCAAACATGCGTCAATAATTCATTTGCGAGACTATGCATTTAACTAAATTGAATAACCAAACTCTTATGCATTTGCGATATTATGCATTCGGCTAATATGAATAACTAAAACTCTTATGCAATTACGAGATTATGCATTTGACTAAAATGAATGAATAAACACTTATGCATTTGCGAGACTATGCATTTGACTAAAATGAATGAATAAACACTTATGCATTTGCGAGAGTTACTTATTTAACGAACTGAATGACTAAAAACCCTCCTAACAATCGTAACCTCTACGTTTCCACCAGACATCTCATTAGTTCGCCCATGTATCGATCACATTCGGCGACTGGCCGAGTTTGAAAACAAGCATGACACACTTCCTATGGCGGTAATAAAAAGCACTTATTGTACCCAAGAGGCGAAAGTATATGTCAATAGATTCATCGGCAAGTATAAAATCCTTTTAACGGAATGTTTGAGTCAATGGTGGGTGAGGGCGTGTGTGGGGGAGCGAATCTGGCTCTGTTTTAATTAATTCTTCGGCGAGACTCTATGACAAAGGAAACTGGTTTGACAAGATATTCTCTGTGCTTCGTGAGCCTGTGCGTGTGGAAACAATACGACCCTGTTAGGAGATTCCTCTGTCCGTGCGAGTTGCAGGCGAGACTTTCTCCGCTGCGAGGTGACCAGCGGCGCTCGGCGGCGCTCGGCGGCGCTCGGTGGCGCTCGTTGTCGCTCGTTGTCGCTCGTTGTCGCTCGTTGTCGCTCGGTGTCGCTCGACGGCGCTCGGTGGCGCTCGGCGGCGCTCGGTGGCGATCGTTGTTGCTCGTTGTCGCTCGTTGTCGCTCGGTGTCGCTCGGTGGCGCTCGGCGGCGCTCGGTGGCGATCGTTGTCGCTCGTTGTCGCTCGGTGTCGCTCGACGGCGCTCGGTGGCGATCGTTGTCGCTCGTTGTCGCTCGGTGTCGCTGGGTGTCGCTCGACGGCGCTCGGTGGCGATCGTTGTCGCTCGTTGTCGCTCGGTGTCGCTCGACGGCGCTCGGTGACGCTCGGCGGCGCTCGGCGGCGCTCGGTGGCGATCGTTGTCGCTCGGTGTCGCTCGACGGCGCTCGGTGGCGCTCGACGGCGCTCGGTGGCGCTCGGCGGCGCTTGGCGGCGCTCGGTGGCGCTCGTTCGGAAGACTTTGACTCTCTGCTTTGCTCGCTTGGCGATCTCCGCCTTTCCTGCGGGTTGTTCGCTGGTCGTCACTCTGACGAGGAGCGATGCTTCGTTCGTGGCAGGGTGGACGTTGGCGTCTTTGTTGGCTTCACTTGCAGCTCGGCGACACAGGGTAGCGATTCTTCTCAGGTGGTGCAGACCTCGGCTTGTAGCTGCGCATCGCTACCCCGCGAACCTCGTCATTCTGGATGACGAAAACTTCTTCGTTGTCGGCGTTGAGATGAGATGGGGCTCAGAGCCCTGGCGATCTGTGGTGGGGCCCGTGGCCCGGACGAGATGGGGCTCAGAGCCCTGGCGATCTCTGGTGGGGCCCGTGGCCCGGACGATCTGCTTTGAATGGATTTTCCTTCGACTTATATGGGAAAATTTTACTCAGTTTCCCGAGTTGTTCAAAGTCTGTCATAAAACATTCCTGTGGGGGTGAACCATCTGCGTCCGTATGTGTGTCGTGTGCGTGTCCGTCCGTGTGTTTCGTGTGCGTGTTTATTAGCTTTGAAGACACAGCTGTGTGTCGTACTGGAAGAAAGGGGTGGGGGGGGGCCTCGTGACGGCGCCACCTGAGTTATTCATTAACCCGACCGATGATTCGCGTTCGCATTGAGTTCTATATATATAAAAAAAATATTCGAATCCATGTTTTTGTTACTGAATGATATGTCGCAAAAACCTACGCGTTAAGCGAGCTTAATTATTCCCTCCCTTGCTCGGGGATCATATCTTTTGTCTCACACAGCTTAAGTTGTTTTGGTTTGGAAGTTGAAATGCGACTTGTTTACTGCTTGGTTCCATTATGCCCAAGTTATGCCGAAACCGTGTTCACGATGTTTCATCGTGATTTGATTTCTTTATGGGGAGATGTTATTTGCTCGTGTGCGCAAATCTTGCTGTCCGTGTTGCGGGGAGACAAAGACGGTTGTTTCCACGGTGGAAGCACCCGGCGCATGCGCTTATTTATTCGAAGGCGTGTGTTAATTTCCTTTGAGCCATTGCCCCAACCTTTATGGGTGTCATTTCCTGGCTTTGTGCCTGTGTGTGGAGATCCTCTCGGAAAGACAAAGGCGGCCGTGTTGCTCGCTTCCCATGGGGTGTTGTGTTTGGTTAATTTTGAGAGCCTTCTCCGCCCTTGATTTCTCTTCTACTTTAATTCCTTACTTATTGTTTGACTTCTTGTGATTATTTAATCTGATATCCCGGCTAGGGATCTTTGTTTTGGAGCGAAATAGATGCCATAATTATTCTTTGATGCTTCGGCCCGGCCGTGTAGAAATTCTTTAAAGGTTAATAATGTCAGTTTTTAATTAACAATGATGGGTCGCGATTCTGGTGCAGACTGTAGTCTGATTTCCAATTGGAGTGAGGATAGATACTGTTTGCTTAATCTTCATGGCTAAGTTGGTAACTTTGTGTATTTAACATGGTTCAAAGACCCGTCTGTGCTTTTTGTCGTCAATGCTGTTTCTTTGTTAAGAATATAATTATCTCTTCCTCCGTGGTGCCTGGTTTTATAAAGCTTTTTACGAAAGGGTGTCATTCTAACCCCCCCGCCTGCCATTCCCCCTCTCTTGTTCCTCTAGTGTGAAATTCGGGGAGTTTTTATGACCTTGATTGCCCTCTTTCATGCCGTCTTTCCTTTGAATTGAGGTATGCGCGCATCTGTGGAAGTGTGGGGGCGTGTTCGTTCCACGTTGCCCCGTGTCTATTAAAAACGATATTATATGTTGGCAGAATGATTCTTAAAAAAAAATATTAAAAATAAAATAAAAAGGGGGTACATACACAACAGTCTCCTCCACCTGGGAACTCAATAGACCCTTGCCATGCTGCAGCTGGATTTTTCTTGGCCGGGCATGGCAAGGGATGTCGGGGATCTGTTAGGGTCATGTCCTCAGTGCGCGCAACGGAAACCACCAGCGCGGGGGTCTAACCCGCCATTGCAATCTATCAAAGTTTCCAGGGTGAACGAGCTTGTTGATATTCTAGGCCCATTCCCCGCTACGCCCAGGGGAAATAGATACCTATTGACCGGGGTAGAATATTTTACGCGCTGGCCTATGGCCTGGCCCCTCGCCAACCAGTCGGCAGCAGCCATCGCGGAGACCTTTGTCCAGGGATACGTCCTCGACAAAGGTGCTCCGGAGCGGCTGCTGACCGACCAAGGTAAAAAATTTTCGGGTAAACTTCTCCACGAAGTCTGCGAGCTCCTGGGAACGAAAAAGATTCGTACCTCCCCATATCATCCGCAAACTAACGGGATGGTGGAGCGTCTGCATCGGACTATCACGTCCATGCTGTCCCAACAGGTCTCTGACTCACAGACCGATTGGGACCTTCAGATTCAGGGGGTGTTGGCGGCATACAGAATGGCTCCCCATGCGGCAACGGGATTTTCGCCCTTCTTCCTAATGTACGGCCGTGAGCCTAACCCACCTGTTCCGACCCAGCTGCAGATCTCCACGCCGCGGGGTAAATCTAAATTGGCCGAACATGTTAAATTCAATATCGCTAAATTGACAGAGGCACGGGAGGCGGCTATGCAGAATTCGGACCTCCGCCAGAAGGCTAATGAGAGGCTCAGGCTGGGTCGGGCGCATGTGCTTCAGTGGAAACCAGGTGACAGGGTGTGGTTGCACTGTCCCCAAGTACCACTGGCAACCTCCTCTAAGCTGGTGCGGCCGTGGCGGGGTCCTGTGGAAGTAGTGCAGGTTTTGCGGCCACAGTGTGTGCGTATCAAATGGGGGAAGCCTCGGTGGTTCGTGCACCCCTCCAGATTGAAACCGTTCGTTGCGGTCCGGGTTCCCACTTCACACACGCGTGGCCAAACATGTGAGGGGTCCGCCGACTCCCGGGCTCCGACTTCGCTGCTCTCCCCTAACTTGCCGCCAACTGTTCCGCCTCCAGGTGCACCGGGAGTGACGGGCTCACGCCCGCCAACCCCTCCTGGGGATGTCGGGGGTCACTCAGCAGCAAAGAATGACTCCCTCGAAACCGGACTGTTGACACCCACCATTGCACCAACCGGGGTTGCCCCATGTGACGGGCCTGCTGCAAGAACGCGCGCAAAAATGCGCAGACTTTTGTGAGGTCCTGAAAATTGTATATATGTTGTTTTCCTGAGAATTGTATATGTGTTGTTTTTTTTTTCCTGAAAATTGTATATATATGTTGTTTTTTTACGGGATTCGGTATTTATTCGGGGGGGGGGGGGGGTGCGTCGGGTTATTTTCTCTTTCCTGTTGTTATTGTTCTTGTTGTTAAAAATTTGTGAGGCACACACGGGTTCAAGGGGGGGATACATCTTTATTGTTATTTTGTTGCAGCCGGGACGGCTGCGAGCTGTACAGGGGGGGGGTGATGTAGGGGTGTTACGGAGGGGCTGTTATACAGTTGTATCAGACGGTAAACAAACACAGTGGGCGTGGCTATGTCTGTGCACTGGGAGGTGCTCACAGCGACGTCCGCACCGGGCAGCCTGGGGGGCTGACTCGGAGCTGGGATCCCCCGGGGCCCCACCCCTCAGCGGGGGAGTTGGTATATAAGGGGGTGAGCCGGAGGGCTCGAGGCAGAATGTATGAAGCTTAACCAGTGAAGAAGGAAGATCTGCTAGATAGAGCCCTGGACTCCCCTGGATCGCCGCCCTTGTCAGGGCCGACCAGGACCGAGCCAGTGGCGTGGCCCCGAGAGCCAGAGCCGGTGCTCTTGTCAGAGCTGGTCTGGGGACTCCGGGCGCCGTAAGCCCAGCTAGCCAGGCTGGGCTAGCTAGCCTCCCCTAGCCCGATAGTGGAGGACCGAGAGGTAGGCTAGGTGTAGCCTAGAGTGTGCCTCCCCAGTTAGATGGGTGAAGGGGCCGACACCCCTTCCAGTGTTGTATGTCCCGGTCTGTATTGTACCTGGTACGGAATAAATAAGTGTGCCTCCAACCCCGGCGTCCAAGTCCTCCTGAACGTTATCTATATATATAAAATCGTGCATGTCTGTCTGTCTGTGTGTGTGTGTGGATTTCGGACCATACGCACTTTCATTGGACGGCGGTTGCCCCTGGCAACGGCTAGCGACGCCTTCGCCGCTTTCATTGGACCTGGCAACGGCTAGCGACGCCTTCGCCAAGGGCTGCAGTTTCATTGGACGGCGGTTGCCCCTGCCAACGGCTAGCCACGCCTTCGCCACTTTCATAGGCTCCGTAAATAATTAAATAATAGCCATTACACAGTATTGTTGGAGCGCTGAGGGGGGGGGGGAAGGCACGCCACCCGTACCCCGCCTCTGCCGGGTGGACAATTTTGGCGAGGCCGCAGGCTCTGCACGCTACTAGGCCTCGACACCCACCACGCCACTCTGAGGTAAATTCATCAAAGTTTTTCCTACTCTTCACTCCACCCCCACCACAATGTGTGCAATTAATATTACTTTTAAACCCAACGCGCCAACAATCGATTACTTAAATGTTCACTGTACAAATAGTCATTAAGCTGGGTCAGCGTACTGCCAGTCTATCATGTAGACTGTAGCCTGCTTATTAAACTCGGTGAGCGTACTGCCACTCTATCATGTACACTCTAGCCTGCTTATGAAGCTGACTGCGTGTACTGGCAGTCTATAATGTGGACTGTAGCCTGGTTATTATAATCGATTCTTTATATGTTCTTTGTACAAATAGTCATTAAGCTGGTTGAGCGACCCCAGTTCCATTCCAACTCACGCCCACCACCGCTGACGATTATTTGAAACGGACCTGGGCCTCCCCTAGGTCGACTCAGCCTCAAACGCGTAACTGCTGTCGTGTGTGAACATCGTCACTGGGGAGACAAAGGCGGCCGGCCATCGTGGATCCAAGTCCCGGGCGAAGCCGGGTCATGTGTATGTGTGTATGTGTTTATGTGTATGTCTGTGTGTCTCTATGTATGTGTGTATGTATGTGTGTGTATGTGTTTGTGTGTATGTGTGTGTGTATGTATGTCGGTTTTTTTGTATGTCTTTATGTGTATGTCTGCGTGTCTGTATGTATGTGTGTATGTACGTGTGTGCATGTATGTGTGTATGTATGTGTGTATGTGTTCTGTGTATGTATGCGTGTGTATGTATGTGTGTTATGTGTGTGTCTGTGTGTCTGCATGTATGTGTGTGTGTATTGTGTATGTGTTTGTGTGTATGTATGTGTGTGTTTGTGTGTATGTGTTTGTTTCTGTGTAGGTATGTGTGTATGTGTGTATGTGTTTGTGTGTATGTCTGTGTGTGTATGTATGTGGGTTTTTTTGTATGTGTTTATGTCTATGTCTGTGTGTCTGTATGTATGTGTGTATGTACGTGTGTGTATGTGTTTGTGTGTATGTATGTGTGTATGTATGTGTGTGTATGTGTGTGTATGTGTTTGTGTGTTTGTGTGTATGTGTGTGTATGTGTTTGTATGTGTTTGTGTGTTTACGCTCGCATTACACAAATGTGTTGCAGGTCTAAGGCGTTCCTCGCGCAGCATTGCCGCTTTATTATTGCAGTCGTTTACTGCCGTGCGCACCCTGAAAGTCGTGTGTGTCTGCAGCAAGCGCGTGTATGTGTACCTATGGACGCGCGCGCGTGTGTTGTGTAGGGGGAACGGTAGTGTAGTGCTTAGCGTGCTGTCTGTGTCTGTGTGTGTGTCTGTGTGTGTGTCTGTGTGTGGTGTGTGGGGAGCGGTAGTGTAGTGCTTAGCGTGCTGTCTGTGTGTCTGTGTGTGTGTGTCTGTCTGTGTCTGTCTGTGTGTGTCTGCGTGTGTCTGTGTGTGTGTCTGTGTGTGTGTCTGTGCGTGTGTGGTGTGTGAGGAGCGGTGGGTGTAGTGCTTAACGCTACGCTGCGCTACCAACCCGGCGAACCGAGTTCGATTCCCGCTCACGGCCACCACCGGTGACGATTATTTGAACCTCCCCTAGGTCGACTCAGCCTCAAACGAGTAACTGGTGTGGCGTATTAACATCGGCACTGGGGAGACAAAGGCGGCCGGGCGTGGTGGATCCAAGTCCCGGGCGAAGCCGGGTCATGTGTATGTGTGTATATGTTTGTGTATGTCTGTGTGTCTGTATGCATGTGTGTATGTATGTGTGTGTATGTGTTTGTGTGTATGTATGTGTGTGTGTATGTATGTGGGTTTTTTTGTATGTGTTTATGTGTATGTCTGCGTATCTGTATGTATGTATGTACGTCTGTGGATGTGTTTGTGTGTATGTATGTGTGTGTCTATGTATTGTGTGTATGTGTTTCTGTGTATGTATCTGTGTGTATGTATGTGTGTTATGTGTCTGTCTGTGTGTCTGCATGTATGTGTGTGTGTATTGTCTATGTTTTTGTGTGTATGTATGTGTGTGTTTGTGTGTATGTGTATGTCTGTGTGTTCTGTCGTGGGCAGTGCTGTGGGGGGAGGGCCAATGCCCATTGGCCTCTCCCCTCATGGCGTCTGTGACCACCACAGTGGCTAAACGGGGGCTCTGGACGGGTGTGAGGGGCTGGTAACCCCTCCACCTTCAATTCATTACCACTAAACCACGAATTAAACATAAACCTGTAACAAATAAGCTTGTGCCGGAGGCCCCGGGGGGTCAGGCTTTTATGACGTCTCCTGGCCAAACCCCATTTGGCGGAGCCAGGAGATTGAATTTTCACCCTCGGGGCTCCTCCAGAAACAACAAAAAACCATTGCGGATGGCCACGTGGAATGTTCGAACGCTCACTGCGGAGGAGAGGCTGCCACTCCTCTGTCGGGAGCTGGACCGGTACCGCCTGGATCTCTGTGGCATTCAGGAGGTCCGGTGGACCGGTTCTGGCTCCTGCCACCATGAGGGGTGGACAGTCCTCTACTCGGGGCAGGAGACTGCCAAACAACAGGGTGTGGCTCTTCTTCTGAACAAAAGAATGAAGGGGGCGTGGGAGCGTGGCGGTGAGGTGTGGGAAGCTGTAAGCCCCAGGATACTTTGGGCTCGCCTTCCCATCAACCAGAGGCGAGGAGTGGTGGTCGTGGTTACTTATGCCCCCACCGAAGACGAACATCCGTGGAGGGATGCAAGCAAAGCCGATGAGTCAGACGCTTTCTATGACCTCCTGTCACAGGTGCTGGCTAAAGTGGCCACTCGGGACAGAGTCATCTTGTTGGGTGACTTCAATGCCCGAGTTGGTCATGATGCTGACACCTGGTCTGGAGTGATTGGAAGGCATGGGCCAGATCAGCTCAATAATAACGGTAGGAGGCTGCTAGATTTTTGTGCAGCCCATGGGCTTGTAATTACCAACACGCTCTTCCGGCATCGGCGCATCCACACAACATCATGGATACATGCCGGGTCCAAGCAAGAACATCTGCTGGACTACATAGTGACGGACCAGCGGATGCGAACCCATGTCCTTGACACCAGGACCTACCGTGGAGCTGATCTGTCCTCTGACCATCGACTAGTCATCTGTAAGATGCGCCTGCCTTTCTTCCACTCCGGTGGTGGGTGTACACCCAGGATCCCATTCCAACCAAAAGTGGCCTGGTCTCAGTTAGCTGATGAAAGTTGCAAGCGAGAATTTCATCATCGCTTGCAGCTGGGGTTGGCATCGTCCCCCACTCCACCTGATGTCGAGGGTAAATGGGCGAGGTTTAAGACTGTGACTCATGCAGCTGCAATGGCTGCTTTGGGTACGCTGTCCAGACCTCCCCAGAAACCCTGGCTGACAGAGGAGGTGTTCAGGTTAATTGAGAAAAAGCGACAGGCCCACTCTCATCGCCTACAGCATCCCACGTCAGAGAATGAGGAGGTTTACCGCAGCCTTCGCTCGGAAGTTCGGAGAGCCGTAAGGCGTTGTAAGGATGGGTGGTGGTCGCGGGTTGCTGAGGAGATGGAGTCTGCCTCAGTGGCCCGTGATCACAAATCACTATTTAACTCCATCAAAAAAGTAACCTGCAGCGCCACACCTATTACCATCATTAGAGGAAAAAACGGTGATCCAATCTCCGACCCCCAGGAACAGGTTTGCAGATTTTCTGAGCATTTCTGTGAGGTCCTGGGGGAGGGAAATTCTCTCAGCCAGGAAAACATCATGGCACAAAGTGGGGATAACCCTGCTGAGGCTGCGGT